ACTCGTTCATCTCTCACACCCTAATCTTGCCACCCTCAACACCATGTTAATGAGTAGCTGCTCAAAATATTCAACTTGATTGACAGCCAATAAACTTACACTTAACACTGACAAAACCTACACTATATTATGTTTGGTAGCAGAGCAGGTCTGCGCAACTTTAACAATAAGATCGACATCACATCTAATTGCCAGACATAAAGAGCAAATTCCTAGGCTATACCTTGACAATAACCTGAATTTTTCAGCACCCATGTCCCAACACACATCAACAAAAAGTATCCAAAAACAGTTGGGATCCTCTCCAATTTACGATACTACGTGCCGGCAGAATGCCCTTCTCACACTATTCCATTCACTCATTTATCCATACCTCACCTATGCATTTCTGCTTGGGATCAACTGCAGCAATACACCTAAAGTCCAATAATAACTCGACAAAAAGCTGCAGTAAGAATAATCACTAAATCCCATCCTTGGCACCCCCCCCCCACTGTCTTCATGGATCTAAACTTACTCCCTGTTCAAGAACATCCACACTTACTACTGTGCAGTCCTACATATAGAGGACCTTGAATTCCAATATTAACCTTGACCTAAAATGCTTCCTTAATTACTAGTTGTGACAGGACTCACAGGCCATAACACCAACCAAACATATCATACATCTCCGTGTCCGACTAAACCCTTTACAAAAATCAGTGTATGTCAAAAGCCCAAAAATCTGGAACACCGCTATCCTGAAATCTCTAGAACATGTCAGACACATTCGTCACCTTCAAAACTAACCGTTTTGAAAACAATCTTATCTCCCCAAACCCACCCCCGCAACTAACTAACACCTACCATCCGACTTACGACCAGCTTCGCTTACGACCACTCAACTACGACCGATTTTTTTATCCAAATTTCTGGGAAATAAACAACTATTTGTGTTGTACAACAGTGTTTTATCCTAAACCCTTACAGTAATAAAATACAGTACTAACACATAAAAAGTAAAAGTAATACATAAATACCAAAATAAAACAATAAAAAATCATAACAAAAATGTTTTGTTGATATTCAGTAGTAAAGTTCGACTTAACACCATTTCGACTTACGACTGGTTTCTCGGAACCGAACTCAGTCGTAAGTCGGATGGTAGGTGTACATAAAAACCACCTGGTGGTTCCACACTTAACACTCACAGTCACTCACCCATTTGACTATAAGCAGAGAAATCTATCCTTAATCTTAAAATAATGAATTCCTAAACTAGTCTTAAGTTTGCAGGATACTCTAATATAGAAACTATGTATTGTGCCAAAACAAAAGCATTCACATTGCTAAACTCACAAACTAGTATTTAGTCACTTAGTATTTAGTCAACTTATTCCACAATTTGTAATAATTTAGGGTTAAGAATTAATCTAAGTTTGCCCGAAATGCCTAGCCATGCTAGGTTGGTTCTAGTGCCCCCTCTGTAATTAGTATTTTATTACATGTAAACCACACAATAACCAATATCTATAAACCCTGCATTGTAAACCTTATGGAGAATAAACTTTGATTGATCATGAAAGCATTAGAAATTATAGCTTATACTGTTTGGCATTTTATAGAGGATAAGACACTGCATACTATAGTTAACTTAATTAACTTCACCTCCTCAAACAATAACTTGTTAAAGTCACCTACATTATATACTACAAGTAGTGTCACCTGCTATATTCATGATTCATGGAAATAGTCATTCAACTATTACTGGTACAGGTTGGCCATCACTAATCTGGCATGGTAGATAAGACACATAGGCAACATTTAGGCATCTTTATTTCGAAACGTTTCGCCTACACAGTAGGCTTCTTCAGTCGAGTACAGAAAGTAGGCGGGAGCAGTTGAGATGTGAAGACGATGTAATCAGTCCATCACTCTTGAAGTCGTAGATTTGAGGTTGTCAGTCCCTCAGCCTGGAGAAGTTCTGTTCCAAAACTTTTGGAACAGAACTAATCTAGCATCATTGGGACCTGTATTGTGGCCGTTAGTGAGTTTACCCAGACTACAGAGTGGTTAGGTAAAATACAATTAATCATGTCTTTCCTCATTTTCATCACTGATTTCTCCCTCCACTGGCTTGCTGCTGTGGAATTACAAACATCTGCACAATTTCTGATCGGTATAATGATGAAATGTGAACTAATGTAGCCAAAATTAGTGCCGATTAACTGATGAATCCAGATAAATAACTGATTGCCCATTAGTGATGGTCCGACCTGTACTCCACATTCTTGTTTCACGCCTAAATTTACATTTTGAAACCATTGCACCTATATGTTTATTTGTTAGTACTCTCTAGACTAATTGGCCATGAACACAGCCTCTAGTTTGTTTTCTGTGGTGCAGCTTTATTCAATGTAATTTTTGAAAACATCTTGATTATTTAACCTTTTAAGGGTTTCAACGTACTTGTACGGCTTACGCACCAGATTTATTGACGTTCTAGTACGCCTAAATTCTGCAACTTCAAATCTAGCAAGAGAAAGCTGGTATGGCCTACACATGGAAAATGGTCTGTGCTCATGTGCACAGTGCGTAAAGAGAAAAAAAAACGTTGACCATGTTTTTGGTTTAAAACAGTGACTTTGCACTGTATTTTCATATAGTATTTATGGTTGTATTCTAGTTTTCCTGGTCTCATTTTAATAGAAATGGAAGACATATTACAGAAGTGGAGATGATTTTGATTGGTATCGCACAATGAAAGTAGTGGGAATGTAAACATGTTACAGCTTACCAGCTGTGCCAACTAGCAGAAGCAATCTGAATTATTATTACGTACGTATTATGCATTATTATTATTATTAATTTAGGGAACTGAAGCTCTATCATTATAATAATTTATTAGTTGTAGTATTATATTATTATTTTTATTATTAATTTTTTATTATTATTATTATTATTATTATTATTATTATTATTATTATTATTATTATTATTATTAATTTAGGGAACTGCAGCTCTACGTAATTGTAATAATACAGTAGACTGCCATTGAAGAATTGCTGCACAATTTTATGTAACACATTGTATAATTAATTTAACATGGTTCAGTTTGTGGGAAGGAAAAAAAAAATTCTCTTGCGGCCACTTTGTTGTAGAGCAGCCGGGGAGCCCTCCCCTACCACTCACCGACAACTACCCCGCCCCCCCACCATCCCAGCATTCCTAGTTCATACGTGTCCAGTCTTTCTCTCCTACAAGGCAGCTGTGTTTGCCAATTGTGTTATGATATTTTAATTACTATATCTTGTATCTGCCAAGCACTCATGACACCCAGTAGCCATACTAGTGTTGCTGAAAGTGGCACGAAGAGGTATAAGCACGTAGGTCTTAGAATTAACAAAGATATTAAACGAGTGATAACCTGTAGCCGTAACTGAAGTGTTACATTGTACACAGAAAAAAGAGGTAACATGAGTTTGTGTGACTGACTGACCGAACTGAATGAATGACTTATTGAGTGACTTGACTGATTTACTGAATGACTTGACTGACTGACCTACTGAATGACTGGACTGACTTACTGAATGACTTGACTGACTTACTGAATAACTTCACTGACTGACTTACTGAGTGACTTGACTAATATATTATTATTATTTCTGAGAAGAAAAAGAGAGTGATTTCCATGGAATTAAAGCATGAAATCATAGATAAACATGCGAGGTGTCCAGGTTTTGGGTTGAAGGGGGAAGAGGGAGGGGGGAGCTGGCTCGTAACTCAAATGTTGGCTCCTAACTCAGAGCAAAAAATCGACCCAAGTATGGCTTGTATCTCAAAAAACTCATAAGTTGGGACACTCGTAAATCAAGGTTCCACTGTATCTTGAAATTGAGCTCAGAGTAGCAGAAATGTTCGATTTTTGCCAAAGTTCAAAAGTAAACAAATCATGCCACGTGTCCAATACACGTCAACTGGCGAGTCTAATATTCTTTCACAAGTGCGCTGGTATTATTTATTCCATTTCTACACTAATGCAGTAGTCTGCATAACAGTAAATCTTCTATTTTTTGTGAGAATAAAAATTCAAAGTGGAAAGCAAAAGAAATGTAATAGGGCCTGGGGACGTGACTAATGAATAGAGGAAATGTTATTATAGTGCCAAGAATGTCTGTCTTGTTTATTCTGGACCCTATTTGGAAATTGGCATCTTTTGAAATTTGTGTGAAATTGGCAAAATTGCTAATTTCTGACCACCTTATTGGATAGTTGAAATCGGTAAATGGGTGGTTTCTTTTAATCATTCAATAGAAAGAATGGAGTTCTAGTGAAATAGGTATGATTTTTGTCGACTAGTACATTGCAATTGGCCGAAAATAGGGCTCAAAGTGGGCGAAATCGCCGATGCGTAAACATCGTCGAGACTGCTAACTTTGCGAGAGCATAATTCCATAAGTTTTCCATCAAATTTCATACTTTTGGTGTTGTTATGATTGGGGAAAAGATTCCCTATCTCTTCATAAGAACATTTTTTTTTTTTTTTTTTCCGAAAAATTTTCAACCCTGAGAACAAGTTTAGGAAAGGGTCTCTAGACCCTGAATGGGTTAATTTGTGTTTATTATTGAAAAAATTATTGAAATATATAAAATTTAGTATTTCTCACAACTTCATGCAGTAATTTTAAATTACTGTGTTTAATTTAATTAAGAGCAGTGTTCTATTTGTTTTTCACTGGCTGAAGAGGCACTTTACAAACTTGATACTACATTGCCTTACAAAAATGATTAGTAAGTCTCATAGTATATTTTAATTGTAAGCATTCACGTACAGACAGTGCCTGCAAGTTTTTTACTGTATTGTATGTACTATATATAAACTTATTACAGGACTACCTATATGTGATTTGTCTTTTGGACATGCAGGTTTTTTTTTTTTTTTTTTTTTTTAACACTATACAGTCATTATCTTTTTTATGTATTTATGCTGTAAGTGTGACTAGTTTATGATGTCATTTCAGGACCGCATGGAGGTGGTGACGGTGCTAGGAGCAGGTTTACTAGTAGGAACAGCATTGTCAGTTATTATACCAGAAGGCGTTAATGCTTTATTCAGCATACACACAAGTCACAAAGGTAATTTTCAGAGAATGTAATCTTAACCCTTTCAGGGTTGGCAGGCCCTCTCCCAAACCTGTTCTCAGGGTTGGAAAAAATTTGAAAAAAAAAAATGATTTTTTTCTTATGAAAAGATAGTTTTTTTTTTTCTGAACATTATAAGCTATAAAAAAAATTTTGCCATCAATACTTACCGAGATATGGAAGCGTGAAGTTGACAGAAGATGGCTGGCATACGGCAACATCGCCGACTGCCGGTCACCTGGTAATCATTTTTTTTTTTTTTTTGTACTTTTTTTTTTTTTTTTAAGTAACTTTTATGGCTTGTGAGACCAATATGAGCATTATTTTGTAAGTTTTTTCTCTTTCTTTACTACACAATAACTGCACAAACACTGTTGTCACTATATTGTTTACAAAACTTGTTTACACAAATGAACAATATAAAATGTTGTTTATTACTATTTTTCTATATTTAATATACACATATACAGTCACAGGACTTGTTTCTAGAAGTTCTGCAGCCTGTGGAAGTCTTTGAAACGTGGTGTCATGCACAATGGTGTTTTACACTCCTCACACACAAAACGACTGTCTCTGCATTGTTGTGGGCGCTCTTTTGTATGTGCACAGACGTAACACCTCTTCCGAGCCTTTTTCTTGGAAACAGTAGCAGGCAGTTTTGTTAGGAAGTGATCACCATGCTTCAGATGAGAAGGTAGTTGTTGATAATTTCATGGGCAGTTTTCTATTGCAGGTGTTGTTCCTTGGTACTTGATTATTATTTGTCTGATGACAAACAAAATTCGCCATATGGTGGTTTGTTTCTGGTCCTCATCTTATACATATTATAAGCATTGAGCATGGAAATGTCCAGAATATGGAAAAAGAGTTTTATGTACCTCTTATAACTCTTGCAAACACAATCAGCAAACCCAATCTGCATGTCACATTTGTCCACTGAACACATATTGAGGGTGTAGTCAATCACAGCTGCAAGTTTTAGAATGGGTTCATTGCTCTCTCTCTCTCTCTCTATGCTGCCTGCCAGTGTCTGCCATTTCTTTAGGGTGAACTGATGACAACAGTGTGACATCTCGTTTGTCATTCCACCAAAATGCCATAATGTCATTGGCAGCAAACGCCTGCACCTCGCCTCTACGAGTGCCAGTGTCAAACCTGGGCATGTGTTTACGATTTGCATGCACTGTGCCACACATATCTGTCATGTTCACTTGCAAGAAATCACTGAGTAAGGGGCTTGTGTACCAGTTGTAAGTATATAAAATATGTCCCTTACCAAGATATGGTTCCATCATTGTTCTAACCACATCACCGGAGATACCCAGTAACTTCCTGGTATCTCGACAATGTATTACTTCCAGTGTACACAATTATATCCAATACAAGACCACTGTAGCAATCACAAAGCACAAACAACTTTATACCAAAGCGTTTCCTCTTGCTTGGTATATACCGCTTGAATGAGAGTCTTCCTTTGAACAGAATCAAAGACTCATCAATAATAAGCTTCCTGAAGGGATAAAAATACATATTGAATTTCTGTTTGAGATACATGAACACATTCCTAATCTTATATAACCTGTTGCTTCTGTTAGGCTTGGTTTTGTCTGAGAAGTGAAGCATACGTAATAGTAGCACAAATTGATTCACTCTTATTATTTCACTGAAACCTGGGGTTGCAATCAGGCGGTCTGTTGACCAGTATGATTTCACACTGTGCTTATACACATGTGGCATAAGCATTATTGTAGCAAACAAAAGATACATCTCAGCCACAGTTGTCTCCTTTCACTGGTGTAGGCATGAGTTTGGTGAAAGTATTGTTTGCCGTGGTGTACTCGAAGTATCTGTAAAGTAAAAGGACACAAGTGCAACTAAGGTGACATTTTATTGTGGCAACATTTCGCTCTCCAGGAGCTTTGTCAAGCCGTTACAAACAGTGCATGGACACAGAGGGTATATATAGGCTCAGAGTGAGGTGCAATACTAGTGGTGGTAGTAGTAGTAGTAGTGATATAAGTTGTGGACCCTGAAAGGATTAAACAACTATGGTGACAATACACATCCTTGTCTAAAACCTACTTTTACTGGGAAGTAATCTTCCTCTCTCCTACACTCCCTAACCTGAGCCTCACTATCCTCATTTATGTACATTATTTATGATGGGAAAATAGGTTTTGAATACCAAACAACCTAGGATGAATTAGCAATAACATTAGCTATTTTATTTTAGCATAATACAAGTTTGTACAGAGGAGCGTAGCAATTTGGTGAACATGCCAAAAGCCCCTTTATATGCAGAGTATTTCAGGCAAGTTTAAGACTAGCTTAAGATTAAAAAGGCAATAACAGTGCTGTAATTGTATATATAGTCATTAGGCGAGTTACAGTGAACACAAGAAAATTGAATATTCAACTAGTTTACGCTATATGGTTTTAGTAAGTTTTGTAGAAGAATTTCAGTTTTGATATAGTACATAAAAAATACAGTACAGTATTACAATTTAGCACAGTATAAAAGAATGCCGGAAGCAGGGGGCTAGTGGCCCCTTCTCCTGTATATATTACTAAATGTAAAAGGAGAAACTTTCGTTTTTCCTTTTGGGCCATCCCGCCTCGGTGGGATGTGGCCAGTGTGTTGAAAGAAAGATAAAACAATGAAGTTGAAACAATTTTAAGTTTTTGGATACACATTAATGTTGTATATTGGGGCCCTACTGTAATTCATTTTGTGTTCTGTTCCTGTCATGTGTAAATCTTAGTATTGTTAAAGTAGTAAATTAACTAAATAGACTTCAATTCAGATTATCCACCTGATTTATGGCAATTTTAATGCTTCTTGAATTTCTCCCATATAGTAAGCCCAAGTGAAGCACACACTGACACTACACAAGAGGAGATAAGTCATGTGGAGCTGCACAACCTGGTTGGTCCCCCGCTTGTCCTTGGCTTCCTTCTTATGCTCTTAATTGACCAGTGTGCAGGAGGACATCGTAAGCCAGGTAACAGTAAAATTGCATGTTTAAATGACATAATTATAATATAATAGTTTTGTTATTATGATTTTAACACTTTGGCTATTTCTTGCCAAGGTCAAAGTGTGTACCGAAAAGATAAAAAATACATGAATCATGGACTTGCACTGTACAATGTAAATTTTGGTGTATAAGTCAACATTGGAGAGAGGGAGTATGGAAGAAGTGAATGTTTTCAGATATTTGGGAGTTGACTTGTCAGTGCATAAATTTATGAAGGATGAGGTTAGCCATAGAATGATGAAGGAAAAAACGCGAGTGGTACGTTGAGGTATCTGTGGAGACAAAACATGTTTTCCATGGAGACAAAGAAGGGAATGTACGAATGTATAGTGGTACCAACACTCTTATATGGGTGTGAAGCTTGAGTTGTCAATGCTGCAGCAAGGAGGCGGGTGGAGGCAGTGGAGATGTCGTGTCTAAGGGCAGTGTGTGGTGTAAATATTATGCAGAGAATTTGGAGTGTGGAAATTAGGAGGAGGTGTGGAGTTACTGAAAGTATTAGTCTGAGGGCTGATGAGGGGTTGTTGAGGTGGTTTGGTCATTTAGAAAGAATGGAACAAAGTAGAATGACTTGGAGAGCATATAAATCTGTAGGTGAAGGAAGGCGGGGTAAGGGGTTGTCATCAAAAAAAAGTTGGAGGGAGGGTGTTAAGGAAGTTTTGTGGGTGAGGGGCTTGGACTTCCAGCAAGCATTTGTGAGGATGTTAGATGGGAGTGAATGGAGACAAATGGTTTTTGGGACCTGACGAGCTGTTGGAGTGTGAGCGGGGTAATATTTTGTGAAGGGATTCAGGGAAACTGGTAAGCTGGATTTGAGCCCTGGAAATGGGAAGTACAATGCCTGCTCTTTAAAGGAGGGGTTTGGGGTATTGGCAGTTTGGAGGGACTTCTAAACTGTCAAGGACAGTGATTATGTATGAGTGATGGTGAAAGTGTTGAATGATGATGAAAGTATTTTTCTTTCGTTTTGAGTTTTTCTTTCTTCCTTTTCTTTCTTGCCTTGGTGGGAAACTTCCGATGTGTTTAAAAAAAAAGAAAAGAAAAATCTACCAAGTTTTTCATTTCTGAATCCCTTTGGAAATAAATGGTATAAAATACCGACACAATGGCAATATAAACACAAATGCAGTATAATGTGATCCTTTATTGACTACGTTTCGCCCACACAGTGGGCTTTTTCAAGTCACAAACAGAACTACCTGGGGTGGAAGGAACGCGAGTATTTATAGTCCGGCTGAGGTCAGGTGAAGAATGCTGCATCTGATGATGTACCGAGTTGGGTTGTAGAGTCTAAAAACTTGGGTAGCTTGGAAAGGAGACTGGACAAGTTTGTGAGCAGACCTTCTACAGTGTTCTTATGTGGGATAGCGATGAAGAAGTTTCTTGGCAAGTGGTTCAGCTATGTTATAGAAGCCACTAATTCTGTTGAAGTTGTCGGATATAGAAATAAGTGATGATTCCAGGATTCTTCGGTATTGAGTGTTGTCTTCTGTGGCGATAAGTCTTGAGTTTCTGTAGTTTATCAAGTGGTTGTGTGAATTACGGTGTTGTACGCAGGCATTCCTTGTGTCGTCAGACCTGCTTGCGTATTGGTGTTCTGAAATTCGTGTTTGGAGGTCCCTTGATGTTTCGCCCACGTATAACTTGTTGCAGTCATTACAAGGGATTATGTATACCCTGCAGAGGATGGAGGCTTGTCTGCCTACTACTGGTGATGTCCTTGATGGTCGTGGTTGTGGAGGTAGATACTTGGAATGATGTTTTGGCAAAGATGTTGGAAACATGTTTGGCAATGGAGTTGGTGGGAAGGACTATGTATCTCTTCTCGGCAGTGTCTTCTCTGGGTGTGTTGAAGATGTTTAGTGCTCGCCGTCTGCAGTCTCTGATGAAGTGACGAGGATAGTGGAGTTTGGAAAATACCTGTTCAATTATAGTGCATTCTTCCTCAAGGAACTCGTTGCTGCAGATTCTGAGTGCACGCAGGAAGAAGCCTATAATTACACCACGTTTGGTTTTGGTGTCGTGGTGAGAGTAGAAGTGGAGAAGATCGTTTTGGTTGGTGGGTTTTCGATAGACTTTAAAACGAAGTTCGTGGTCAGCTTTGCAGAGTAGAACATCAAGGAAAGGAAGAGTGTTGTCGACCTCTTCTTCAAGTGTGAACTGGATTGAAGGCTCGACCTGGTTGAGCTTGTCTTGGAGAGCTTGAACGTTGAAGCGTTTAGGTGATCTTCTCAATCGCATTCGCAACATCAACATCAGGAACAAGAAACTTTCCAGCCTTGACGTGACTTCCCTATTCACTAAAGTACCTACTAAACAAGCCATCGATCTCTTGCGCAAGAAAATTGACGATTCACTTGATCTTCCCATTCCAGCCAGCGACTTCATCGACCTGGTTGAACTATGTGTTGGCTTTACGTGTTTCTCTTTTGAAAATCACCTCTTTCAGCAGACTTTTGGACTACCCATGGGTTCGCCACTCAGTGCAGTCCTAGCGAACCTATACATGGAACATCTAGAAGCCGAACGTTTCTCCACCATTATTCCTTCGTCTGTCCCTGGCTCCGTTATGTTGACGACATTCTCCTCATAACTCCTAAACGCTTCAACGTTCAAGCTCTCCAAGACAAGCTCAACCAGGTCGAGCCTTCAATCCAGTTCACACTTGAGAAGAGGTCGACAACACTCTTCCTTTCCTTGATGTTCTACTCTGCAAAGCTGACCACGAACTTCGTTTTAAAGTCTATCGAAAACCACCAACCAAAACGATCTTCTCCATTCTACTCTCACCACGACACCAAAACCAAACGTGGTGTAATTATAGGCTTCTTCCTGCGTGCACTCAGAATCTGCAGCAACGAGTTCCTTGAGGAAGAATGCACTATAATTGAACAGGTATTTTCCAAACTCCACTATCCTCGTCACTTCATCAGAGACTGCAGACGGCGAGCACTAAACATCTTCAACACACCCAGAGAAGACACTGCCGAGAAGAGATATATAGTCCTTCCCACCAACTCCATTGCCAAACATTGTTTCCAACATCTTTGCCAAAACATCATTCCAAGTATCTACCTCCACAACCCACGACCATCAAGGACATCACCAGTAGTAGGCAGGACAAGCCTCCATCCTCTGCAGGGGTATACATAATCCCTTGTAATGACTGCAACAAGTTATACGTGGGCGAAACATCAAGGGACCTCCAAACACGTATTTCAGAACACCAATACGCAAGCAGGTCTGACGACACAAGGAATGCCTGCGTACAACACCGTAATTCACACAACCACTTGATAAACTACAGAAACTCAAGACTTATCGCCACAGAAGACAACACTCAATACCGAAGAATCCTGGAATCATCACTTATTTCTATATCCGACAACTTCAACCAGAATAGTGGCTTCTATAACATAGCTGAACCACTTGCCAAGAAACTTCTTCATCGCTATCCCACATAAGAAACACTGTAGAAGGTCTGCTCACAAACTTGTCCAGTCTCCTTTCCAAGCTACCCAAGTTTTTAGACTCTACAACCCAACTCGGTACATCATCAGATGCAGCATTCTTCACCTGACCTCAGCCGGACTATAAATACTCGCGTTCCTTCCACCCCAGGTAGTTCTGTTTGTGACTTGAAAAAGCCCACTGTGTGGGCGAAACGTAGTCAATAAAGGATCACATTATACTGCATTTGTGTCTGAATCCCTTTACAATCTATACCAATTGTGTATGTTAACCATAGCAGTGAATAAACCACTGAATGATGTCAATTTATAATTTGTTTTTAAGAGGTTTATGATCATTTTGTTTTTCAGAAGCCATCTCTCTTTAAATATAGCTCTTTAATCTCATGACTATTGATATTCACTAAAAAATATCAAGAAAGATGAGAGATTTAGATAAGAGAAATCCATTTTGAACAAAATTTAATGCCTGGTTTTCAATCTAGGTATTATATGCCATGCTAAAAGAAAATAAGCATCCAGTAAATGTCTCTAGGATAATGGTTTAATTTAAATATTTAGCCGGAGGCCCAGGGAGGGAAGGGTGGAGGTAGGAAGGGTGAAAAATATGGGAGGAAAACATAGAGGAGAGAGGAAGGATGATATACCTTTGATTAGTTTTGAGAGTTTTTCTACTACCAGAGCCCGACCATGGGCCAGGGAGAGAGATTACTTGGATTCACTTCCAAAGGTCACCACCCCTATAGTCTAGTCCCAGATCAGGCTTCCTGGTTGCTGGTCTGATCGATCAAGCTGCTGGTGCCTGCTGGCCACAGTTCAACATGTGTACTGAAACCCCTTATGCATGAAAGGAGGGTGTTGAAGAGTCATGGTCCTTTAATAAAAAACTTTGAATTTTCTCAGCGTACCCGTCACTTCCCTGCTATTCATTGAAAGTATCCTGCACCATCTGAATAACCTCTTGTGTTTATCAGTGGTAATTTTGGTGTGCAGGTTTGGTACCAATCCCTCCAGTATCTTCCATGTGTAGATTATGGTGTATCTTTCTTGCCTGCATTCCAAGGAGTACAAATCTAGGGACTTCAGGCACTCCTGGTAATTTAAGTGCTTTCTGAGTTTATATGAACTGAAGGTTCTCTGTGCATTTTCCAGCTCGGCAGTTTTGCCTGCCTTGAAAGGGGGCTGTTAATACACAGCAATATTCCAGCCTATGGGGAAAGAGTGACTTGGAGAGTATCATCATTAGTTTGGCATCTGTTGTTTTGAGAACTTTCAAGACGAGATACTGAACAAAGGGTGATACTTTTAAACCCTTTCACTGTCCAGATAGATGAAATTAACCCTTTGACTGTCGCGGCCGTATATATACGTTTGCGAGGTACCGTGTTTGACGTATATATACTCATAAATTCTAGCGGCTTCAAATCAGGCAGGAGAAAGCTAGTAGGCCCACATGTGAGAGAATGGGTCTGTGTGGTCAGTGTGCACCACATA